CACACGCACACACACACATATGGAGCATTCCATCTGAAATGGGACAAAAAAAATTTTTTTTCTTCAAACTCTGGCGATCGAAAGTAGTCCATAAAAAAACGTTACTGTAATTTTTTCGGATTTTTTGAAAATTACCTCTGCCGTCAGTGACTGTCACAAATTTTGAGTTTTTCATTGAGAGAAAAGATTTTTTACTCTGTAGACGAATCGATGTGTATGAAAAAAAAAGCTTTTTTTAACATTTTTTTCGTAAAAAACGATCAAAATATTTTTAAAATATGGTACAAGATATATAAACAATACATTTATACATGTATGTATTGATTTGTTTTTAAAGCTTATTTCTATTACAGTTTGTTAATAAAATAATATTTAGATACGTATGTGTATGAGTAAGTGTCAGGGTCTGTGGGAGTCAGTAGAATGTCAGTAAGATTCCACAAAAATGGTGAAGTGGGTGTAGGGGTGGGCGGTGGAAGTCAAGAAAAGTTTGTCCTGGGGCGGTGGAGTGTATGTGGAGGGCACTGAAGGGTTCTGGGAGTAGTATGGATTTAAACAAAAAGTAAGCTTAGTTAAAATATGTGAGAAAACGATAGAATTGTAGTTTTCTTGACGGAGGGGCGTTTGCGGTCAACGTGGGTTTGCGAGGGATTTTTGAGAGGCTGTGTCCCTTTATTTATGAAATTTTTATATTACAACCATACAATTCTAATTAACTCGATACTGTACTCTTTTACTGACACCTTTTATGGAGACTAATACCATTGCAAATGTATTTACTTGAGCTATTATATTTACCAAATAAATATCTTGCAACATATTAGTGACAACAGTAAGACCTTAATAAAAAAGTCGTGATCTATTATATAGTATCAAAAAATTTAGCACCATTAGAAGCACCATATATTGACCAATGGACGTGCAGTTAGTAGCTAAACAAATCCCAAATGATGATTAATTTTTGGGATACTTGACATTTAGTCGCATATTAAAAATGATATCTGCGATATAATGCCTACCAACCCTACCTTATCCAAGGCCCATGTACCTGTTTCAACCCCTACTATGTGCGGCATGGCCAACTTTCGACCGTGTGCAAAAGTTGGTGTGTGTTTGTACCAACACATACAGGTAGCGAGGGCACCGAGGCAGCACGAACCGGTGAGCCGGCAGGAGGAGAGCACTCTCGCTCTTGTCTGCTTGCCATTGTAACGCGTATTCTGAGGCAACGATACATCTCGTAGGCGGGCAGTTTCTTGCGTGTGTACATAGATATATAATGTTGCGCAGCACCGAGCGGCATCAGGAGGTGAAACAACTACCTGTTGACGTCCCGGACTGCATCAACAAACTACACACATGCACTGCCAGGGACTGGTGTATCCTAGTGCCGACGCCAGCCCATTGGATATGCACGGAGGTAAAATTTGGGTTGAGAGAGTGCAAAAGTTGTGTTGTCAGAGTCCAACACAACATCAAGCATCCTCAGTACCAACTGTAAGACTACTACAGTCCGATGCTTGTGTTAATACAGTTTGACGCAGTGCTAAGATATAAGATCTCGAAAAGAGGGGGCGAGCGATCCCAAGGCTTTGGACTCTCTCATGACAATCCTGGAGGCTCACGGCCTGATGATAAATATAGATGTATATGTATACATAGACAGTCAGAGTGAGAGAGAGGGAAGGTGTGCAGTACTATACTGATGATGCATAATCACATATGTATATGTTTGCATTTCTTTTCTCTTTTACGAGGTGCAAAGCATGGACTCGCATCAGCTGCTGCCGTTTTAATTATTTTTTGCTGTATAGCTTGTGAATGTTTTTCATTAAGTAGTTTATACGTATTAGTGTATAAGTTATATGTGTATAAACTATTAATTTTGCTTCTTTTAATTTACAGAAATAATAACTCTGCATACAAAATTACTAAGGTTATTATTGATCCTTAAAAATTTATGTGTTATTTATTGAAAATAATTATTTTTTATAATCTTAACATTAAAAAGATTAGAATCTTTAGCCATGCACGTCGCTGTATACGTAACTATCATATACGTATATCTTCCTAAATTATATAGTTAACTCAGTGGGGCATTCCACACAAACCCCCCACCGC